ATGTAAGATACCTGACCTTACTTCCTAAGTTGACACACATATAAAAAATGAAAATTCCTAGTAAGATGGGGATTTTTAATGAGATTGTCCATGGTTGCACATTTTAGAATCATTTTATTGTCTCTCTTCACTAGAATAGAACAAAAATGGAAAGCGAATAAAGTAGACGAAACATTGATGAATATGAATAGAAACAAGGCGCACCTGTTCCATTAGAGGATCCCCTATTTCTGCTTCACAGTCGTAAAAAGTTGTTTCAACTTCAGAGTCTGATGCTTGTGTTGATGGATTTAGAAACTTCTCTCTGTAAGACTCCCAAGTGATGCTTGAACCATCTGGACCAGTGTCGAGTAACTCCCCACAATCCCTCATCTGTATCTGGCACTCCTTTGGTATTTTTGAGCTCGATGCATCAATAATCATTTCCATTGATCTGCACCTATAAACTTTCAACTGCTCCAAACGCTCTAATTCGTCCATGCCGTCGACAACCTGCAGGCTCTGGCACCCTACAATACCTAACCACATCAAGTTCTTCAAGTTTGACAAACCGCCTATCTTTTTTAACGAAGTGCACTCTTCGACAGAAAATACTCCGAGTGGTTTGAACGTAGAAGCAAATTGAATCTCATGTAGCTCTGGGCACCTTGACAGCTTGAATACTTGAAGCATCTTTAGGGAGCTTGAGACAAGGGACACTCTCCTGCCACCATTAGTCAACTCGGGAGCTTGTCGCTCATTGAACCCGGGCTCCTCCGACAGATTAACCAGCCTCTCTAAAGATTTGCAGTCCTCAATACATAATCCCTCCAATGATATTAAGTCACCGAGAAATTGAACTTCGACTAAGTCAGTGCAAGAAGACACCTCGGCTTCCCTCAGTTTTCTTAAACTTGATGGAATGGATAATCTTTTGACGAGTTCGCACCTTTTGATAGTCAAACGTTCCAACTGAGGAAGCCCATCGAGCTGTACTTGTTTCACTTGAGTGCGATCGAGCTCTAGAACTGTCAAGTTTGATGGAAGTTGTTCCAGGGATAGGAAGTCTAGTCCATACATAGTAAGTTCTTTCAGCAGAGAAAGGGAGCCCAACTCTGTAGGCGGTGCGTGGACATTTAAAAGGCACAACTGCTGCTTCCTCAGTTTGGATAACCTCCCAATCCACTGCAAGTCACAAGTTTGAATTATATTTGATGTGGCCTTAGATTCAGAGCCATCAGATAGGAGCAGTTCTACTAGATTAGTAAGGTTTGAGAGGTTAGGGACGGTTTGCAACGAAGTAGATCTCAGCCGTAGAGTTGTCAAACTTTTGGGGAGCTCCGGCAACTCTTGGATCTTATGACAATGCTCTAAGTCTAGTGTTTCAAGGCGACTAAGCTCGCTCATTGTACTGGGCACTTTCGCAATTGGTGTGGACGATACATTGAGAGATGACAAGCTTGGCAGTCTACCAATGGAATCCTGTAATACTGTAATAGGCGTGTGTGATACATCCAACTTCATCAATGACTCTAATTTCGAAACTGATTCCGGGAGTTCACTCAAGCTATCACAATTCCTAAGAGAGAGGTGCTGAAGATTTGGTAACTCTCCAATTTGTTCAGGCAATTTTCCAAGATTCCGACATGACTCAATACTCAATTCAGTCAGCCACCTCAGTATTGGATTTTCCAATAGAGCAGTCAATTTCCATCAAAGCTGAACATTCAAAAATGGTCAACTTCTCTAAAACTGAGTATTCGGAAAAGGTTGGTGTCCTGTATATCGACATATTATTTTCAAGAGTGAGAACCTTCAATTTCCTCCCCTCCTACAAAAGCCAATGAAACATCAGAACGGACAACAGGATGTCTGTTACATAGGGATTTAGGTTCCCAACATGGATCATTTGTCCTTTGATCCTCTCACTAAATGAGAAAATTAGACTATTAAGTCCATTGAAATTTGTCCTTCATTAATTGAGAAAGTTAGACTAAGAGGGAAACTGACATACCTGGATTAGGCTCCTGATATGGTCATCCGTGAACCCATGGCCAACAAGATTCCCCACAACCACGTTTTCTAGATGCAAATTGGTTGCCTCAAAACGTGGATGACGTTCAGAACTTCCATCAGGGTAAAACAAACTGATCCATTTCAACTCTGAAAGACAGCCCGCAAAGTCGCCTTGGCAGGTAATGTTATGCAACCATAGCAGCCGAAGACGTGGGAACCGCTTAATTTGCTCAGCAGTGACAATTATGTGATCATCGGTCCCTGACCAATTTGTCAAATCCAGTGCTTGAACGCTACTCTTGATCTGCTAATGACATTGAGGAGCAGTTGCAGGAATTTGTCAGTATCATACAATTTTATTTCGTGAAAGAGAAGGAAAAATGAAATAGGAGAGTCGCTCCCAATTCAGAAATGTGAATCCTCAATTATGAACACGGTAAGTAATTTTCTATTCAAATTAAATTTGGTCATACTTTACCTCTGTTGATCTTAATTCGCGAATGATGTCGTCTGTAGCCCACAGCCTAGAATGCTCTTGATTAGCAACTGCCCTTCCAAGATCTCTAAATTGATCATGCATCCAAAACTTATTACCCTCTAAAACCTTTATTGTGCACCTGTTAATAAGGACATCAATAGCATACTCTGGGCTAAACCCACAATCTTTCCATGCCAAGACTGGATTAGTCTTATCTTTACCGATGAAAAAGCACGCAACATCGAGAAATATCTGTTGTTGATCCATTTCTAAGGCATCGTAGGTGATCCTTAGCTTTCCCAAGACATCACTATTAGGTGTTTTCCTTAACTTCTCTAGCATCTCTTGCCATATTTTTTTCTCTTCCTGAAGAAAAAGCAATGAACCTATTGCTCGAAGAGCTGAAGGTAGTCCGCCCGTTGTAGAGACGATGTCTTTTGAAAAAGTGTCATAACCGTCTGGAGGAATGTCGGCATCGAAGGCATGCCTGCTAAAAAGTTGAAGTGCGTCTTTGTCGCTCAACACCTCCATTTCATAAGGCACGATTTCATACTTCAATCCTCTGATTTTCAGAACACTTTTATCCCTAGTGGTAACAAGTATCCTAGTGCCAACGAACAAAGGATTAATTCCAATAAGGTATTCAATCTGGTTTCCCTCGTTAACATCATCCAATACAACTAGTACCTTCTTGTTGCAAATTGTTTCTCTAATCGTATTGATCCCATGATCAATGTTATCAATGTTGCGAGCCACTCTAGAATTAGAGATATCAGACAACAATTGTTCTTGCAGCTTGACTAAGCCCTTGGTTTTTGCCATTTCCCCTACGCCATCAAGAAAGCTGCAGTTTTTCCCAAAGCGAGGACATAGTTGGTTATAGACAATCTTGGCAAGTGTTGATTTACCGATGCCACCCATCCCGTAAATTCCAATAAGCCGTGCACCACCAGATTGGGTGTCTAATAAACTATTTATGGCTGCTATTCGATCCTCCATTCCAACTAAATCTCCGGTCACTTTTCTTTGTCTTGTCTTGAGCCTAACCACAACCTCGCTAACAACAGCCTCGATAAGATCCCCATCGCTGCCACAAAGTTGAACAGTTTCAATTGATAAAAGATAACAAATTCGTTTAATTGCATGTTGACCAACCATCTACGTAGTAACCGGGTGGGAACGCGAGGTCAAAACTTTAGCTCTACATTATTATATCACTTGAAACAAGAAAACTTAATTTCCATCAATTGTCTTAAGTAATATATATAACTTAATTGAATTTCTTTTCATGTTGCATGTTCTTGTGCGAGGTTTACCAGCAATTTATTTTCATGGTCACTCTACTTATTAGTTATGGGTTATCACATGTATGATGTCAATATATATAGACATTTGTCTTTATCATCGTGAGGCAACTAGAATTTCTTTTTGGGGGTCGGGAGGCAACTAGAAGTATTCAATGGAAAAGGGCACGAAACAAACGGGACAGGACCAAGATGGATTACGTTACACTCAAAACTTCAGGAACATGATGAATTTACAGACCTGAACATCCATCACAAGTTTATGTTAAAGGAATAGAGAAAGAGAAATGTTTGATTATTAAAAGGATAAATGCACCAAAAGTCTTAAAACTTATTGCGAAAATGTCATTAAGTGCTAAAATTTTCAAAAGTGTAATCAAATACTAAAACTTGTTAAAATGATATAATCAAATAGTTTCGTTAGCTCCGTCCAAATTGATGGATTTAAATGAAAACTATTGACCTGGCATTAAAGAATAGGCCAAAAAACTAAAAAAAACTATGAATAAATAAAGGGGCACAAAGGACAGTGGAAAGAAATCTTGCTTGCTCCATCTCCAGTAATTTTTTTCTTCAACCTGATCATTTGTTGATTCTTCATTAAAACTTTTCATGGTTGCTTTGAATGAGTTCTTGAGATAGGAGTTTGAAATACTACATGGAAGCACTACTGGACACTACTGGCCATGGCTGCGAGCTAGAAGAAACTCCAACCACCATGGCCGAATGATTGAGTTCAACGAAGATCGAGCGATCCTTGCCCCAAGCTCAACGAAGCTCTAGCCACCATGGTCAAACTCGATGAAGCTCAAGAAGCTGTGGCCGTGGCCGTGAGCTCAAAGACTCTCCAGCTGCCATGGTTGCAAGCGCCAAGTCTCTCCCTCCGGGCTTAGGCCAAGGCAAGCGGCCTCCAACGGAGTTCTTAATGGTGGCTAAGGTCGCACAACCTCAAAATGGAGGTCGTGTGACCACACATACAAGGTTTCGCGCTTGGTTTGAGGCCCAAACTGAAACCCGAGTCTATTCGTGTGCGGTGATGTGGTGCACGATTTTAATGGTGGCAAACCATAATGGTGGCGGCGGCGAACTGATCTGGTGATGGTGGTGGACGAGTTCAGCAATGGTGGTCGAGTTCTTGTGGTGCTAGGTGGTGGTGGGGGATGAGTTTGGTGGTGTTTTAAGTGTGGAGTTGGTTGTGGAGGCTGAATCTTGGTCGTGGTGGAGGTGGTGTTTGATTCCGTGGTGGTTGTCTTTAATCGCTAGGGTAGCCGGCAAGGCAGTAGGTGGTGATGTTGTTCGAGTCTAGCAGCAGGTGTTTAGGCAACGGCTGCCGGCGACCATGGACAGCTTCAATGACCAGCAGCACTACTGTTGATCAACAAGCGTCGATAGCGGCGATCTGACTGATGAAAATGGTGTAAGTGGAGCGGCTTAATGAAGTGAATTTTTTTTTTATCCTTATCCTTCCTCATTTCTATTATTAGAATCTTTTAATCATTTTTTCTTTTTAATTTTTCAAGTTTTTTCTAATATGGCGCTTGGGAAGTGCCACATCGGCGCCACATGTTATAAGAAAATAACATAAAAATCATGTTAGCATTTTCCTTTAACCAAGTTAGATGGACTTAATAGAGAGATTTGATTGCATAAATTTGACAAGTTTTAGGACTTGTTTGCACTTTTTGACAGTTAATGACTCAATCGTACTTTCGTGACAAATTTTAAGAGTTCTAGAGCACTTTTTCCATTATTAAATCAAGTAGAAGAATCGAGATTTCTGGTAAAAAAATTTGGAAGAATGAAAATATAAATGTATGATGAATTATGGCAATATTAGATCTACTTATTTCTTTTGACGTGGAAAAGAACTTTACAAATGCAACTCCATACAGTTCCATAATCAAGTTCTCTAGCAAACCTTAGGAATTGTAATACATTCACGGATCAATTTGGTATAAAAAAGATGAAGCAAAGCCAAATTCTTATACAATGGAACATAGTCAAAAAAGAAAATGTAATAATCCTACTAGGTCCGAATAAATTTGGATATCTCATGATTTAGAAAAAAGTAAAAGAACAAATTGAGACTTTCCATTTCACTTGAGGAAAATTGGAGTTGGAATATAATTAATGAATTTTTATCAAATTTATAGCCTGATTGTAAAATATAATTTTGACATTCACAGTTAGATGATTACCCTGGATATTTCTTCAGTTCCCACCCCTTGGTGTCATCAACTTCGCTGAGAGCCTGACGCCACGTCTTTATTTCCTCGGAGCTGAACTTCTTCTTCTCATCCTCCATCTTTTGCTCCAAAGTCAATATGGCATCACGGTATAACGAGGTTTTCAGCTTCACATCAGCAGGTTTCACGTCATAAAAGATGGGCAATATCACCTTCTCATTCCCCTCTTCAGATTGAGAGGTGTTCTCCACCATCTTTGCAAGCTCTCGGAGGCACCAGTGACTCGAAGCATATTTCATGGAGAAGATGGGTATGTAAAGCTTGGAGTCGTCGATCGCTAACAGAAGGTTGCCACTAATTCTTTCTCCTGGTCGAAGCTCTTCGTCATCGATAAAAACGCGAATCCCGACATCTACCAAGGCGTGGTAGAGGCTATTGGTGATTCCCCGACGAGTATCGGGCCCTCTAAAACTCAGGAACACCTGGTACTCACCTCCTAATGGATTGGTGGTGCTCATTCCTGTCTCTGAGTTTGCCATAGGAGCTCACTTTGCACTTAGCAGGTCACCCCCCTCTCTTTCTCTCTATTATATAGGCGTTTTCCATCTAGTACGTTGAACTGGGTATAAGAAATTTCGGACGAACAGGAGATATTGTTGACATACTTTTATGCTCTTTTTTGCTTGATTTTGAAAAGTACGAACATTTGTTTATACGTAGAAGATTGGCAATTAGTTTAATAATCTACTAATACTTATTCTCGTGGCTTACCAACTCTTTTAAAGTTACTATTATTTGATATCATCAAACTTAATTTGACTGATATATTAACATTTGTCACGTTAAATAGCAATTAACTTTAGTCACTACGCAACTTTTTATCCTGTTTGGTTTTGAAAAGTACCAACAATTATTTATCCTTTCAAAATTTCTAACTACTTTAATATTATACCAACGTTTATTCTTCTGGCTTATTAGAAAACTGGCCTTCTTCGAAAATATCTGAAACATTTGCTTATGGATAGGACATGCCATGGCAACGCCAAGTTTATAATTTGAAGCATTTTGTTAAGCCAGGGCCGATGAGCTTGAGCCTCGCCCAAGGCCGGCGAGGCCGATGAGCTTGAGCCTCGCTAGTCGTTGCCATGGCCGGCGACCAGCAGAGGAAAAGAAAAGAGAAAAAAGAAAGAAAAAGGATTAAAAATAATAAAAAAATTCGATTTTTTTAAAAAAATCAAGAAAAGAAAAATAAAAGTAAAATGTGTTTTGTGAAAGAAAGTGAGGTGAAAGAAGATATGGAAAATGTTTTCCGCTTTTCCTCACTTTTGAAGGTGTTTTTTCCATTGGTGGAAAATATTTTCCATGACTAGTTTATTTTTCATGAAACGAACGCCCGAAAATCAAGAAAAAGTTTTCCTAAAAGTTGTTTTCTGTGAAATGAATGAAGCATAAGTTTAAAGAACAATTATTTAGGGTTACGATATCTAGACCAGAGAAAAAAAAAGGTGATTAGGACTTCGAGGAAAGAGGACTTAGAAAACATCATAAGAAATTGGAATTTGGAATTCCATTGTGATCTCATGTATGATATAATTCACATCTTTCCACCTCATCTTTAATCAAGATTCCAATGCGACAACTAAGGCGCCATATCGCGCCACCCTTTTTGGATCACATTTCAAAGCACATTCACAATGCACAAGCTAGATATAATTATTGCGAATTTTTAATATGCGCACATGTATAGGTTTGGACAAATCAGCGAAACCGACACCGCACCCAAACAAAATTCTTTCGAAAATGAGCATGGCCAGGTCTTGGGCTGCAGCGTTGAACACATGAGGAAGATCCTGTTGGAGAAACATCTCAAAATATTTTGACAATCTCAAAACTCTTTTTGGTATAATGTTTACTATGATATTTGCAGATCGTGACATTAAATTAAAGAAAGAAGTGATATCCGTGAATGAATCTGTCCTGTTCATGAACATCACAAACGGACTTAAAGATCAACAGGTGATGATGTTTATGTCATTGCTGAAGATATCATGCCATTAATTATGTTTGAACAACAACCATTTGAGGATGTTCGTTGGATAATCAAATATAGCCGTTGTTGACCGGAAATGCGTAGCAGAAGGATGGGAAATCGTCAAAGAATTGTAAAACAATAAATTGAAAATCACAAATTTGTCAATTAATCTACAAATTTGTTAGATGACGTTGAAAAGAATTATGTTTCTCGAAAATTTCTCTTTTCGACAAAACAAATTTCTACATAAATAAAATCGAACAATAAATTGAAATCATAGAACCTTTAATATACATGGAATACCCACAAGAAAGAAAAAACAAAATATATGAAATCTTAATTATGGCAACTATATCTTATATAATAATAGAAAAACTAAAAAAAGAAGGAAAGTAAACAAGTTTAGGCCACCATTTTAAATTGCGATTCATTAAATTTCGAAATGGAGAAAATCCTTTTTTAAGACAATCATTTAATTAGTAGCCGTGCAAAATGTGGTCCTTGATGATTATGTTTAACCCAAAAAATATCAGAATCGTATTTGGTGGTCTAATTGGCACTTGCCACGTTTATTTTTTCTAGATTAAACAACTAATATTTTATTTCCAACTCCATTGGCGTGCAAGATTAAAGAATTAATAAAGTGGGCTGAAACTTTGATTGGACTCGAAAGAGCGAATTGACACAAAGTTTCACGGGCATAAAAGAGATGTGTCGGCTTTATCTACATAACTCCACGACTGTCGATGTCCAAAGTGATGTTCTCTCGGACGATAAAGCAGAAAAAATCAATAAAATGAAATGCCGCGATCACATGGAAACATTGCCAATTAACTGAATATATCTCTATCCTTATAAAAGTTCGCAGATTAAATTTAAAGAACAATTAATTAGAGTTACGATATTTATATCAAGAAAAAAAAAGATGATTAGGACTTCGAGGAAGGAGGACTAAGATAACATTATAAATATTTTATGATCTTTAAGAGAAAGGGAGAGAGAGAATCTATAAAGATTTACATCTTTACTCAATTGGCTTGTCTTAACAAGTTATTAGAGGAGTGTATTTATACTTGAACAATATGCATAGGAAAGGAAATTAACTGTACTAGAGAATCACGAATTAAATAATATGCCTAATATCTAATATTATCCCTAACGATATTCTCTAGCAAGGAAATTTTTAACCTCCATAAATATACTCTATCACTCCCCCTCAAGCTGGAGCATTTAGTTTGCATATAATTGGTGCAACTTTCTTCAAAAGTATGTGATAAAGATGAAGCACTGTGTAAGATGGGCCTTACACTAAACGACAAGCACTAAAGCAACACATGTTTAGAAAGTTGACGTATCTTTCTCATATAACCATGATAGAATCGTGTGGAAACCAACTTGAATTGCGGCAAACTAAACTGCATCACCCCATAGTGCTCCTCTTTGGCTACTTGATGAAGGTGTGCTCGACTCCGGCGCTAACAGCTACCTAGATACTTGATGACATCACCCACCCCACAGTGCTCATCTTCGGTTGCTCAATGAAGGTGTGCTCGACTCCGGTGCTCACAGCTACTTGGATATTTGACGGCGACTTCGCTCGTCGATGATGCTCGCGATTAGAAGAGAGTACCACAACGAATAAGCGTTGTTGAGTGTTGACAAAATCGGGAAGTTACTGAAGATGAGACGACTAAAACAACTAAAGCTAGCATAAAGGAAGAAAACGCTAAGGTTTGATTTAATTCCTTCTCTCTTGGTGGCTCTGATACCAAGACCACTATTAACTGTTCTAAAAGTTTAAACTGTTAGATGAATATGTAGTTTAATATTTAATTATTTTGACACTCCCCCTCATGTTTAGTCTGGTCTTCTTTTTTTTAACTAATATTAAGCGTGGAAATATTTAATTGAGGAGGCAAATGTGACCCGAAAAGATTCGAACTCAGGACTTCCAGCTATGATGCCATGTAAATATTTTAGGATCTTCAAGAGAGAGAGAAAAAGAGAATCTATAAACATTTACAACTTTACTCAATTGGCTTATCTTTACAAGTTATTAGATGAGGGTACTTATACCCAAACAGTATGCATAGGAAAGAAAATTTGCTATAATAGAGAATTACGAAATATTAAATAATATACCTAATATCTAATAATATCTCTAACGATATTCTCTAACAAGGAAATCTATAATCTCCATAAATATACTTCATCAAACATCATAACGAAATTAGAAATTCCATTGTTAGATGATTAAGTGTTTGCTTAATTGTATAATAAGAAATTTGGTCAGACGATTAACAAGAAGCTGGTAAGGAAACCTTCTCTAATTCTGAATATTTTGTAAAACCCAAAAAAAATTCCTCTAATGTTAGAAACCAACAACTTTATTTTCAAACGAAATTAAGGAAAGAGATGAAATAATTGATGTATTTCATTCATGTTAATGTTATCAGGGTCCAAAAATCATGTCAAGCTTAACTTAGGCTTATCAAAAGGAGAATAAGTTTACACGATTTAATGTGCTAGAGCTTATTTTTCTTCTTCTTTTTTCTATTGGAACTCCTATCCAAAAAGGAAAAAAAAAACAAACTTTTCTTCCCTGATGTTCAAATATCACCTTATGTTCTTCCTTAGTTAAAAAGAGTCTTTTTAAATGACAGCTTGTCCTTATGAACAATTCGTCCTTTGCTCAACGAAAATCTTATGATCCACTTTAATTAAGAGTGGTAATTTTTAAAGTGAGTAGATAAATTTGCAATATTAAAGAATACTAGGATTTAAATCATTCCGAAATGGAGAAAATCTCTTTTTGGGGCAATGGGTTAACTTGTAGCCATGCTAAGAATGGTCTTTGATGATTATGTTTAACCCCAAAATCATCGGAATCATAGTAGGTGGTCTAATTGGAGCTTACCACACTGATTTTTGCTAGATCAAATAATTTATTTTCAACTCCAATGGCCTACAAGATTAAGCAATTATTTGTCAGACGTGAGAGAAGTGATCCTTCGTAGACAGTCGAATTGAATTTTGAGGTTGAAATCGAGTGAAAAGGGAACAAGATAAAATAAAACAAAATGATAAAAGTCATAAAAAAACCCTAGGTTATGCCAACTGTGACACATATACTTTAAACTTTTTTCTTTAACACCAAAAATCCCAAACCTATAGCTGTGTAACACATTTACTCTCTGTCAAAGTTCTGTAAATGAGAATCGTTAAAAATCTGCCTACATGAACGGTAGAAAGCAAACAGTATTGATATAGAGCCCATGTAATTCAAGTGAAATAAAATTGGTGTTATTTTGAGTGAAAAATCATCTAACGAAATCTTGACTGATGATAAATGCGTCACAGCGGGTATAATTTGAGGTTTTTGATGTTGCAAAAAAGTTAAAGATAAAAATGTCACAATTTCGATTTTTTCCAAAAGAAAAAGGTATGAAACTTTGGATTGTACTCGAAAGAGGGAATACACAAAGTTTCACGCCACCACGTTTATTCAAACCAAAAGCCAAAAGGGCTTTTCTTAAAGGCAAAATTATTGGAACGTGTATAATGGGATCATTGGGATGTGTCGGCTTCAACTGGATGACTCCAAGATAGTCGATGTCCAATAAGATGTTCTCTGGGACCATAAACCAGAAAACAATAAATGAAATGTCGCAATCACATGGAAAAGTAGCAAAGTAACACAGTATAATCTTTATAAAAGGATTGGCAGATTAAGTTTAAAGAACAACTATTTAGGGTTATGATATTTATATCGAAAAAAAAATACAAAAAAGGTGATTAGGACTTCAAGGAAGGAGGACTAAGAAAACATCATAACGAAATTGGAAATTGGAATTCCATTGTGATCTAATGTGCATTTAAGTTGTGTTTGCCTAATTGTATAATAAGAAATTTGGTCCGACGATCAACAAGAATCTGGTTGGAAACCTACTTTAATTGTGAATATTTTGGATAGCTGAAAAGAATATATATATTCTTTATTTTCAAATGAAATTAGAAAAAGAAAAGAAATAATTGATGTATTTCATGTTATCATGCCAAAAATCATGTCGAGTTTAACTGAGGCTTATCAAAAGGAGAATAAGTTTACAAGATCTAATGTGCTAGTGCCTGTTTTTCTTCTACTTTTTCTTTCTGTAAGGAAGTCCTATCACCTTCTGTTCTTCCTTGGTCAAAAGGATAGCTTGTCCTTATGGATAAACCCTCCTTTGCTTGACCAAAATACCTGCGCCCCATTCACGATACATTTCATATCTTACCGCGTCATTATTAGTCACGATTCCAACGCAACAACCAAAGCGCTCCCCATATATTTCATGTCTTCACTGTAATTGCTCATCAAGATTCCAAAGCAACAGGTAAAAGCGCCGTATAACGACAAACGTTTTGGCCCACATTTCAAAGCACAATCACAATTCACAACACACGGTGGATCCCAGCGATGAGCATGGGGGAGGTACAATTGGAGACCCTACTCGTCGTACCAGCAGGAATTGCTCTTGATTCTTGGTTTTTGGGTCCTCCAACAGACCACCGGGAAGAATCTCTTCAAGAAATGAGGCTCAGGGAGCTCCTCTTGTGTAAATAAGTGAATAAATTTCATTACAAATAACATGATATGATTTTCTCTTTTAAGCTCCATTTATTTCGCGAAAAATATTTTCTTTATTTTCCAATTTTCGAATTGCTTAGAAAAATGAGGCGATGGAAAATATTTTCCTGCAAAAGCTTAAATTCAGGAAAATGATTTCCTCTTTAAAGTATCGAAAATCATTTTCCAAAATATGACTAGGTATCGGTACTTGGACTGGAAACTCTGAGCTTGGGTATGGGAACCCCAAGGCTCATTCTCGAGCCCTTGGCAGCGGGGCTAGGTCCTCGGTGCCTGGACCCATGTCCATCGAGGCTTTGCCCGAGGCCCAGGTTGTCGCACCTGGGTCCATAGAGGCTGGGCCCGATAATATTGAGGCTAGGCCTGGGTCCTCGACGCCCATGCTCGGGTCCATCGAGGTCAGGCCCCGGACGCCGATGCCTATGCCTATCTCCTCAATTTCCAAGCTCGGGTC